TACACTAAGAGAGAAAAGCTGTATTATACTCTTTTTTCCCGCCTTTATGAAATTGCTTACTTAGTCTTTTCTCATAGAAAAGGTGCCAGTTATATTCCTATGTTGGCAACAGAGTCATTGTCCTACTGATCTACATAGTCTACTTTGTCACTTTGATGGTATGTATCTGTATGCTTGTGTACGAATATTCACTTGGTCACACACACCACACATATACACACACACCCTACCCATAGAAACAAATAATAGATTGATGAACTTTTAAATTTTCAGATGTATTTGTTTAAAATTCAATAATAACACAAAACAGAGACTACCATTGGAAAGATCAACTATTCTCCCTCCAACCCTCCAAGTGGAAGTAGACTCTACAGTCTTAAAATACTTATCTAACATAGTCAAGTGTCTCACAACACTTATAACATTCTTTCAAACATTAATTACAATTTTTTTCTGTTATATACCAAAAGAAAACTGCCCACATTACCAATTCCATACACTTAAATTTGTTAAGTCCAATGTTTGCTTTCTCTTCTCCAGGCTGTAGAACCTCACTTAACATAGCTTCTCTTTAGGGATTATTTTCCAGTGTTTTTTTAAAAATAATTTTCAATTTTTAATGTTTATGGGTACATAATACTTGAAATAACTAAAATAGTGGTGTTGGAATGTTCCTAACACAAAGAAATGATAAATGCCTGAGGTGGTGGATATGCTGATTTGACTAATTCACATTGTATCTTCCAGTCTTTATGTGTTTTTGTGGATCACCTCAGAACCATTTTGTTTAGGTAATATGAACAGAAACTAGAGCCAGTATTCTAATAAATTCCTCGCTAATACTGACTAAATCAGGAAGCTACATTGAGATTGCTGTTTGCAATATTCCCACTTATGCCTCCAAGTATCCTGTTTGGCTTTGGTCACTTTTCCGCTTGGAACCTTCTTTTCTATTAAACTAGATGACATGAAAGACAGAAAGGCTTCACTACACTTTGAAACAGACTTTTACCACTGCAGGGTAGATAAGGCTAAATTCTAGACCATGGGACTTTTTTCTGCTTTTTGAGCAGATATCTCTGCTTCTCATTGGCCTGAAAACACTAGTGTGGACTATACATGAAAATAATTCAATCAGACACATATCTTGACAAGAATATTTATTTGTTTTTATGGAAAAATACACAAAAGCCAAAGGTTGCTTAGCTGCTGATTTTCCATAGTACAATAGGGCATTGTAAGAAAGGGGGAAATATATCTGTTATAAATGGCAGTTTACATTTCTAAGGCATTTAGGCTTAAGAGCGGTAGGCCCTGCACACTTAGGTGCGCTGACTTGAGTTTAAATATACTGAGGCACACCAGGCAGGCAAAAGACGTGGACTACATCGTAAAACTCTTTCATGCATTTGTGTTGCAGGATTTCATTCCCCACCCCCTCATCATTTGTTTCCATTCACATGAGTTTTGGAGTTGTTCATAGAACACTGGTAATGATCTACTCTTCAAGAGTCTGTTTACAAATTACAACACCAACGGGATACATGGAACAGAACTGCTTCATGGATAGGTTCTGTCTCTTACCAAAATGAGGCTCCAGTAAGAAAAACACTGATTTTCAAAGGCACAGTGGAGATAGGTTTAATGCATTAAATATAACATGAATCATTCACAATAACAAGTCTAGTGTTTCAGGGAACTTTTGTTAATACAACACAGTTGGTCACACAAAATACAAATGCTTCTGTTGATTTGTCTTGGCAACTCAGATACATCAACAGTGCTAACAGTTTAACAGCTTTGTTCTCGTCTGACAGAAAATAATGGCAGTTCTGCAAGGCAAATGTTAAACCTGACCGTATGTATTTATTAATTCCACAATGTTTTGACAGATTATCGGAGACGGAACTCAGAGGATGCTGACACGCTCACTGAGGGCTCTCATCTCTGTTTCTTCGGTCTCAGGACTGTCACTGTGGCTAGCACTTGGATTGATCAGGTGTGCGGGGTACTGCAGCCCCTGCTTGCCCGCATACTGCTCCCACCTCAAGTCATCGCTTTCATGGGTGATGTAGCGTTCCCCAATTTTGCATTCCAGCTCTCGTAAATCTAACCATGTCTGATAGTCCTGAAGAAGAAATTCCAAACTATTACCACAGAGATCATGACCACTCAACATGCTATTTTATATGTTGTCTACGAGTCACCCTTTCTCCTTCCACTCTAACAGTGCTGCATCATTTATCGTGCATCCTCAAGCAATGGCATCAGCACCAAAGCCATTCTATCTGCCTGGCCTTTGCAAATACATACTGTTTATACGATACCATGGATCAAAGTGTGGGCAATTAATGCTTGCAGTCAAGCAATTAGGAACATTGGTTTTCATTTGAAATTTAATGCCTACAAATAATCTTTCAGCATTTCAGAGTATTGTTTTTATAAACTTTAAATTCAATGTGAAAGTAATAAATATTTAAGGGAACACAAAGCACATGCACATACTTTATATATGCCATACATTTGTTCCACACATAATAGCCTAGGATTTAAAAATGTAGCTTCCAAACAAATGTAGTACATGACCAGATGGGCATCTATTTAGACATTTATCAGGATTACACATACTGATACTTTTGAAATCTGGTCCTCTGAGTTCTGTTATGATCCTTGGTTTATTTACTTATTTTTGGTATTGTTTTTCGGTATTGGTATGTATGTGTGCATGTGTGTCTTCCCTGTCAAATTTTCCTGGTAGAGAGAGAGAGGTTTAGAAACACTAAACAGTTATTGAATGCTAGGAAGTTGCATGCATTTCAGCAAATTGATACTAGAATAATTATACTTTCAAAAATATGACAAAAGATTTCTACATATAATATCAAAATTCTAAAAATATTTAGAAGCTCATCCAACTGACAAAAAAACCATGATTGATTTTTACCTGTAGCCAAGGGTGACTCAAGGTCTTATCAACGCTATAGCGCTTCCTCATTTTTACCTGCAGCAAATTATTGATAAGATCGATGGCTGAAAAAAATTTTAATTGTTAGTAAAATTATATGACAAATCGGCAACGTATGCATAATTCATTTACAATTTGTTTCCCATGGTTAAATGCAGCATGGTGACAAGGCACTACAACCTGTAAAAAATTCTCTTTTGAGAATTCTAAAACCTTAGCTCTCATTTTATTTCAGATACTAATTAAAGTAATTATGCAGGAAGAAGTATTAGAGTCTATTGTGAATATGATGTGGTCTCACAATAGGTCTATTCTTCATTGGTCTATTCTTCAATATACTTTTTTAGTATAGGAATTTTATTTATACATATCATTTATATAAGACCTAAATTAATGGTAGGATAAAACTAATAATCACGAGAAAGCATTTGCTAATTTTTTTATAAAATGTGTTTAATGTTTGAATACACATAATGTGATTCATAGTATTGAATTAAGTGACAGACATTTTGGCATAATATTTATATGAAAAAACTATAGTATAACATGGGTCATATTTCAATATAAACTTGGAGCCTAAAAACCAATGGACCAAGAGGAAAACATTTTTATCTCTTTCACTTTGCTTTTGCTTTTAAAAATAATCAATGTATTAGAATTATATCAGCCTTCATTGACTTCCTAGGGGAAGGCAGGAAAGAAATCTGTCTAATAGGAATTGTTTTCTGAGAGGTTAGAATCATAGTCCATCCAGCCCAGCACCATACTTCTGATTGGGGCTCCTATGAGAGTCATTTAGGAAGAAAAAATAATCTTTTAGTTATCTTGTCTACAAATCATTCTAGTTACCCATAGTACCATGTGATGAAGTTCTCACTCTCCTTTTCTGGAAATTATATATTCAGTCTACATGATTAATAGTTCATTATTTATTGAAGTCATTACACTCCCCACTCATTCTTGTAGTAACTTCCATAATCCTTTTTTTATTTTAGCATTTTCTCCCCAAAAAGAGCTTAGTGAAATCTGTCAACCTAATGGAAGCATTAACATTTCAGAAAGTTAATTCTCACCCTTAACCTTCCCTGGGCATTTTGTCTGAGAGATGGCTCTTTCTACCAAAAATCTTTATCAAATAGATAGCTGATCAAAAAATGAGAATTAACTCTCCATTTTTCCCAGCCACCGCATCCTGAATCAGGCAGCTCTGACACCATCGTTTGGTCTGCATCGACTTCTATGGATCTGAAGATACAGACTGCCACATGAGTCCAGAGGAACAAAGACTGTTTCCTTCAATCAGAATAAATCAGAATCCTTCTCATTATCGGGCAAAGAGAAGCTATTTCTACAGTCTGTTGTTAATTGAGAATTCTACATCTCTGGTGCTAATATTCCAAGTATTTGCCTGCACTGACGGGCTATAGAATCAAACAATGAAGAATTCTTTGATTGGAGAAATTCAATGCAACAGCACACATTTAAATGTCGTCTATGCCTATACACTCTTGCCTTAGCTAGAATACGCGAGGAAACATAGTACTTAGTACAATTTCAAATTCCAAGTATGTGTTCTCAGAGAGCTTTTGAAAGCATAGTTCTCTCAGTGAACTGTGTATTGGGCATGTGCTTTAAAATATCCATTCACATGATTTACTCACTGGTGAGTAAAGTGCACCTTCCATTCCTGCCGCTGTGAAGTCACACAGCAAAAATGGAGGATGAGGCGTGAAGGGAGAGCTTATGTGCTACTATAAGCATGCTGCAGCATTACGCTTCCCTAGACACTGCAGGGAATAAATATATGTTATTAATTCACTCATTCTGCTTTGAATTCTATAATTAGGAAACTAGGAGTACAGTACCTCAACAAAAGGTCTGGTTTATGCCCAAATGGGCCCCGACAGTGAACCGCACTGCCTAATGGGGAGGGAAGTACTGCCAGAGGGGAAACTAGAATCGTCTGAAGGGAATGTAATATGTGAAGATGAAAAAATTGTTCTGCTGAATGAAGCATACAATCATAAGTCTGGCTATGCCATGGGACTCAAGTGACCTGAATAAGCACAGCCAGGCAACACAAGTACCTCCACAAGGGAACAGTTTAGGATATAAGGAGAGGATTAGAGGGATGTGTGTGTGTGTGTGTGTGTGTGTAAATAAGGGAGGGAGCAAGACAGAGAGAGAGAGAGAGAGAGAGAGAGAGAGAGAGAGTGCATATAAATATATTGTGGGGGTCTTGGCAGCAGAAAGCAGAAATAATTAACTATTAAATGTTGGGACCATGGTGTTACTGAGAAAATACGTCCATCATTAGTACTTGAGAGCTCCATTCTACTTGCCACTTTTCTGGAACTCTTAAAACATCCTTTTTTATTAATTGAGTTGCCTACAATCCATGACTTGCAATGGTTTAGTCACTAAACCTATTTTTTAAGAAATTCAAAAGTTTTTTTTCAACATTCTCTTTATTGATCGTGTCTAAAATTGCTATAACACTCATGTAACAAAATTTCCTTACACGCATCATGTATGTATGTGTCATTAATTTATCTGTTTGTTTGCCAAATATTTCCTAAGTAATTGCTATTGGCAATTATTCAAGGAATAAAAAGTTAATGATAAAACCCTGGCCCTGAAAAACTCCCAACCTAGTTGCAAAGGCAAAACACACATGCATGCTGCCCCGCCCCACTTAACAGTATATAATGACAAAAGGCACCATTTTGAATCTTTGACTTCTAATTAATATTCTACTCAAAGAAAAATGTATTTTCTTTTTATAATTTACTGTAATTAGTCCTATTTATGTTCTAGATGCAATGGAGAACTTGACTCTATTCTATGTTACAGTTCTTTATGTCTTCGGATGCAGTGATTCCTCTTAACCTCACCTTCCACAGACCCTTCGGTTGTCTTTCAGACTCCTCAGTCTTCCTGTACACCCTGGTTTTAATGTTCACTAGCTTTTTGTCAATGTCTCTGCTAAAATTCAGTAATTATTGACCAGAATTTTCCTCATTATTAACTACCAATTTGATTTATACACACAGATATTATTCATATAGGCTAGAATTGGGGGTTTTTCATTCTTTTTCAAAGATTTTACATTCATATTCTTATTTAGTCCTTATAACAACCCTATGAAAGTCATTCTTTTAATCCTCATTCTATTTAAGAGGAAAAATTAAAGCTTCAAAAAGCCATGTAACTTGGTCAAAGTCAGCTCCTAAGTAATAGAGCTAAGGTTGAAACCCAAGGGGACCAGGCTTCAAAGCCTGCGCTCTGAACACACTGACTGCCACACTAGAAAAATTCTTTTTTTCCTTGGGCCATGGTGTTTTATTATGAAATAGAATAAAAGCTTTGAGAACATGTGGTGCTTATTTTTCTATTCTTGTGATACTTCACTTAGCAGGATGGGCTCCATCTCCATCCAGGATAATAAAAGAGGTGCTATATTACCATTGTTTTTTGTGGCTGAGTAGAACTCCATGGTATACATATAGCACATTTTATTAATCCACTCACATATTGATGGGCACTTGGGTTGTTTCCACATCTTTGCAATTGTGAATTGTGCTGCTATAAAGATTTGCATGCAGATGTCTTTTTTATAGAATGCTTTTTTTTCTCTAGGTAGATGCAGGTGGGAGGGAGGAGAAGGGGATGGGTATATTCACATCTAATGGATGTGGTGTGCAGTGTCTGGGGGATGGGCACGCTTGTACCTCTGACTTGGGCAGGGCACAGGCAATATATGTAACCTAAACATTTGTACCCCCATAATATTCTGAAATGAAAAAAATTTAAAAAAATGTTGAAAACAAAACATTCCTTTCTAATTTAAGGAAAAGTTTATTTTTTATTGTTTTCTGCATGTGAGTTACATGCAACTTGAAAAATAGTTCACGTGGCTCCTAAGGTGAAGAGACATGTGAGTTTCATATGCTTCATGAGGCCCCAGGCTCAAAACTAGCATGAGTTAAATACAACTCACATGGAAGTTAACGTGTTAAACACTCTGGCAGATAGCAGCCATATTATGCCATTAACTCGTTATGATCAACTGAGAAAAATGTTAATAATTAATTTTTTTCTAGTCATGAACATCAACGTCTTCTTAGTAATGTTTCCACCACACTTTCATGTGCTTGAATGCAAACGTGTGTGTGTGTGTATGTGTGTATATGCATGTGTGTGTATCTTTGTGACTATCGCTTCACATTTTAGCACTGAAAGACTATTCTGAATGCGAGATGATTCCCTCCCATCAGGAGGGGTAATTCTTCTAGATTTCTGCCATGTCCACCCTGAATAAGCCCATCTGCTATGTATTAATCAAATTATTAGAATCTTTTTTCAGAACAATGCTCAACCGTAGAACTTGCTGACTCTATCACAGATCATGTTCCCAACTGCCAAGCCTATAAATTATTCTTTGAGAAAGCCTTATTATGAACAAGAAATGTTTCCTCCTAGGAGTATTTCCATCCAGTCCATATTTTATCATCTTCTCCAAAGACTATTTTAGGAGATTCAAATGCTTTATTAAGACATATCAGTCCTTAGTATTACTCATTCTACCAATTTGGCAATCCTACTTAAAAAGAAAGGATGCAAGACAAGGGGAAGGGGAAGCCAGTAAGGAGCAGTAAGACTAGAAATACTGGAACAGCCATGGCATTCCCAAAAGACAGCCAACAACCAGAAAAAAAGTCCAAATGGGGTCTCAACTCTAGTTTCAAAACTAAAATGAAAATTCAGAATTTTGATCTAAAGATCAAAATTCTGGGGGGGAATGACAATAGGGAGACTGACACAAAATTGGGCCATTGTGTGAATTCCTCTCAAGAACAAAGCAAAGGAGAAAGGGAATGTGGTCTGGCTGTGGGAAACAGGAAGGAAAGAAGAGGATTGCAGCAGAACAGAATGCTAGTGCCCAAAGAAGGGAAGGTAGAGGAATGTAGAAACTTCAGGTCACCTGACACTATACAAGGATCGGGGCCTATGAGGACTCTGGAGCCACATGAGAAAGGGATATTTGGGAAAGTAAAGAATGCCT